TAATTATGCATTTTTGTAATTGGAGTTATATCTAAAATCCGCTTGTAATTCCTGTAGATTTATTGTCTGCAGCTTTCTCAAGCCCTCCCCTTCTAATCCCGCCCAGACTTTCTGTGTCTGTCCAATCACAGAATTCCCAATGCAGCTCAATGTAAAGTCTTTGCAAGGCAGGTGCTCTGGGCAATTGCTGCCTCTTGAGTTAATCTCCATTTAGCTAACCAAACCAGGAAGTAACAGGACTTTACACAATTGACTAAAACTTTGAACTAAGAACTGAGTTTCTTCACGTGATGCTCTGTTTCCTTTTAATTTTATATTAAAGATTCAACAAATGACATGATAATCCAGTTCAGAAGAGGCACAGCCAGGGCGCTCATATCAGATGAGGATACAGAATAGAATCAGTGTTCCATGTCTCCTCCTTTCTGTCTGCTCTCTCTGTGCTGATTGCCAGGTGTAAAGGACAGCGCTTATAACAATATGACAATAGAGAGCTAAAAACATCACGTTTACCTAGGGTATCCCAGGGCCCTGACTTTGGTTGTGTTTCAAGGTTTCTCAGGTTAATCCATCCCAGCTCCAGGTTCTGGACCTGCAGAATGCCCTTTTCTGTGCCCAGAATGAACTCCAAGCCTTGCAGCACTCTCTGAGGCAGAAGGATCGACAGGTAACAGACGCCAAGCGTTCTCAGCGTTTATTGGAAGCTGACCTTCTGGCAGGACAGAGGCAGAAGGAAACGTCATGGAAACACAATCAGGTAATTCTAGATTAGTTACATTGATTCATTCCGGGAATACTGAAAATTACTCTGTAAGCAGTTCCGTCTGAAATTACTCTGTAAGCAGTTCCTGAAAAATGAGAATCTGTTTTTTTATTAAATCATAAAGGGTCACTGTGGCAAAACTAGCCACCAGAGACTATCTATGTATAAAGATGTGTGTATGGTTGCTAAGCCATAGAAACCAATGCTATTTGTATTTCAGGCGAATGAGGGCATTCGTATGCTGGCGGTATGAAAACCCCAGCATTTCTAATGAAGTTTCACGAACAGTGAGTTAAAAACGGTTTGTGAAACGAATAACCTACTGAACGCACGACCACACACACGGGGGTCGTGTGGCACCCATTAACCGATTGCAACAATGTTGCAATCGGTAATTAAGAGTGTTTCTAGGTGGCCGTCGTTCGAATACCGACCATGCGGCGGTCGGCCATCTTGTTTCTTTTGTTAGCCCATCGTTGTTTTGTCGTTGAGCGCCTGCAACTAAAAACGGCTACTCGACGGCGCGAGCACCTCTGGACTTCCAGGCTGTTCGGAACCTCGGCCGTTCGGTAGTTTATTCTCCTTACGATAATCGATATTTTTAAACCTATGTTAGAATTATGTGTATTTCGTACGGCGTTCGGTTAGTTAGACTGAGAGCTGAGCGGTATTCTCACGAACGATGGGCTCAGCCTCCAGCTATCTACCGAACGTCCGTTCGTGTAAAACTAGTGAATATTGTTAAAGTTATGTATTTTAATGTAAAAAGTGAGTTCTGCTGCACGGAGGGATAATCCCATTAATGGTATATTCCAGTGGGAGTATCCCTCTCGTCCAGCAGTGTATGATGGGAAAATTGTGTGTGTTGGTCAATTCACCATGTAGTCCCCTACTGTACAACCCCTGAAATGTCAGTAGGGAAACCCCTTGCATGACCTGAAAATAAACCTCAGTTGACCTCCAAGCCATGTGTCGTCTAGTTCTTTGGAGAAAGGGATTGTAACTACGCTACCTGGATTTTACCTGCTTTGTGCCTGCTTGATTCTGTTTACCAGCGGAGATACCGTGGATAATACTACTACTCCGCTACAGTCACTCTTGGGACTATAACAACTTTGGAACATTGCAGTAATTCTGGTACACATCGTAACCTGCACTTTCTCTATGCTGATAGTGGATTTAACTGGCCCTCTGGCTCTATGCTGATAGTGGATATAACTGGCCCTCTGGCTCTATGCTGATAGTGGATATAACCGGCCCTCTGGCTCTATGCTGATAGTGGATTTAACTGGCCCTCTGGCTCTACCGGTATGCTGATAGTGGATTTAACTGGCCCTCTGGCTCTATGCTGATAGTGGATATAACTGGCCCTCTGGCTCTATGCTGATAGTGGATATAACTGGCCCTCTGGCTCTATGCTGATAGTGGATTTTAACTGCCCCTTCGGAGTGGAGTATTTACATTCTGTGTGAATTTCCCAGTGTACGGCAATCTCTGCACACAGGTTAGTTTATAAACAGAAAGCAGCAATGAAATGGTCGCTGTCTGTCTGTTGAGCAGTTCCAGTATCCTATGTTTATGGGACAAGCTCAAACCCCCATAGAGCAGAATGAGAGGCTCCTGATTGGTGGAGCCTTTTGCCAGTGAGTCAGTTGCTGCACGTCTCCTCTATCACCTGATAGCTACACATATTTAAACGGAAGTGTGTTGTTTTCCGAAATTTGCCGAAAACTAGACAGAAACGAGTCAGTAACACATTGATAAATATCCCCCATCAGGTTAACGGAAAATCCAAATCAGTCAGATTCTACAATAAGACAAAGCTTCCCCTCGTCTCAGATTGTCTGGGCATTGATTGAATAACACACTACTAGCAGCTGGCTGCTGCGGATGTTGGGAAGATACTTTATAGCATCGATAGCGAGGTAGCAGGTTCTGATCAGATCAATGGGCATTGATTGAATAACACAGTACTAGCAGCTGGCTGCGGAAGTTAGGAAGATACTTTATAGCATCGATAGCGAGGTAGCAGGTTCTGATCAGATCAATGGGCATTGATTGAATAACACAGTACTAGCAGCTGCTGGCTGCGGATGTTAGGAAGATACTTTATAGCATCGATAGCAAGGTAGCAGGTTCTGATCAGATCAATGGGCATTGATTGAATAACACAGTACTAGCAGCTGGCTGCTGCGGATGTTAGGAAGATACTTTATAGCATCGATAGCGAGGTAGCAGGTTCTGATCAGATCAATGGGCATTGATTGAATAACACAGTACTAGCAGCTGGCTGCGGATGGTAGGAAGATACTTTATAGCATCGATAGCGAGGTAGCAGGTTCTGATCAGATCAATGGGCATTGATTGAATAACACAGTACTAGCAGCTGGCTGCGGATGTTAGGAAGATACTTTATAACATCGATAGCGAGGTAGCAGGTTCTGATCAGATCAATGGGCATTGATTGAATAACACAGTACTAGCAGCTGGCTGCGGATTTTAGAAAGATACTTTATAGCATCGATAGCGAGGTAGCAGGTTCTGATCAGATCAATGGGCGTTGATTGAATAACACAGTACTAGCAGCTGGCTGCGGATGTTAGGAAGATACTTTATAGCATCGATAGCGAGGTAGCAGGTTTGATCAGATCAATGGGCATTGATTGAATAACACAGTACTAGCAGCTGGCTGCTGCGGATGTTAGGAAGATACTTTATAGCATCGATAGCAAGGTAGCAGGTTCTGATCAGATCAATGGGCATTGATTGAATAACACAGTACTAGCAGCTGGCTGCTGCGGATGTTAGGAAGATACTTTATAGCATCGATAGCGAGGTAGCAGGTTTGATCAGATCAATGGGCATTGATTGAATAACACAGTACTAGCAGCTGGCTGCTGCGGATGTTAGGAAGATACTTTATAGCATCGATAGCGAGGTAGCAGGTTCTGATCAGATCAATGGGCGTTGATTGAATAACACAGTACTAGCAGCTCGGCCGGGCGGGCGGATGTTGTGGGGAAGATAATTTTTATGTAGCATCGATAGCCAGGTAAAGTAGGTTCTTGATCAGACCAATGGGCATTGATTGAATAACACAGTACCAGCAGCCGGTTGCCATGGATTCTTTAGAAAGATACCTTATAGCATCAATAAAGTGCGTAGCAGGTTTGATCAGATCAATGGGCGATTGAATAACATTGTGTACTGGAAGTAGCTGGCTGCGGATGTTAGGGAAGATACTCTTTAGCACGATAATGCAGGGTAGCAGGTTCTGATCAGATCAATGGGCGTTGATTGAATAACACAGTACTAGCAGCTGGCTGCGGATGTTAGGAAGATACTTTATAGCATCGATAGCGAGGTAGCAGGTTCTGATCAGATCAATGGGCATTGATTGAATAACACAGTACTAGCAGCTGGCTGCTGCGGATGTTGGGAAGATACTTTATAGCATCGATAGCAAGGTAGCAGGTTTGATCAGATCAATGGGCATTGATTGAATAACACAGTACTAGCAGCTGGCTGCGGATGTTAGGAAGATACTTTATAGCATCGATAGCGAGGTAGCAGGTTCTGATCAGATCAATGGGCATTGATTGAATAACACAGTACTAGCAGCTGGCTGCTGCGGATTTTAGAAAGATACTTTATAGCATCAATAGCAAGGTAGCAGGTTTGATCAGATCAATGGGCGTTGATTGAATAACACAGTACTAGCAGCTGGCTGCGGATTTTAGAAAGATACTTTATAGCATCGATAGCGAGGTAGCAGGTTTGATCAGATCAATGGGCGTTGATTGAATAACACAGTACTAGCAGCTGGCTGCTGCGGATGTTAGGAAGATACTTTATAGCATCGATAGCGAGGTAGCAGGTTCTGATCAGATCAATGGGCATTGATTGAATAACACAGTACTAGCAGCTGGCTGCTGCGGATTTTAGAAAGATACTTTAGAGCATCAATAGCAAGGTAGCAGGTTGATCAGATCAATGGGCATTGATTGAATAACACAGTACTAGCAGCTGGCTGCTGCGGATTTTAGAAAGATACTTTATAGCATCAATAGCAAGGTAGCAGGTTTGATCAGATCAATGGGCGTTGATTGAATAACACAGTACTAGCAGCTGGCTGCGGATGTTAGGAAGATACTTTATAGCATCGATAGCGAGGTAGCAGGTTCTGATCAGATCAATGGGCATTGATTGAATAACACAGTACTAGCAGCTGGCTGCTGCGGATGTTAGGAAGATACTTTATAGCATTGATAGCGAGGTAGAAGGTTCTGATCAGATCAATGGGCATTGATTGAATAACACAGTGCTGGCTGCGGATGTTGGGAAGATACTTTATAGCATTGATAGCGAGGTAGCAGGTTCTGATCAGATCAATGGCGTTGATTGAATAACTTTAGTACTAGCAGCTGGCTGCTACTTGATTTTAAAGATACTTTATAGCATCAATAGCAAGGTAGCAGGTTGATCAGATCAATGAAGCGTTGATTGAATTAACACAGTACTAACGCTGGCTACTTGGATGTTAGGAAGGTACTTTTATAATACGATAGCGAGGTAGCAGGTTTGATCAGATCAATAGGCGTTGATTGAATAACACAGTACTGTAGCTTCTGGAGTGCGGATATTAGGAAGATACTTTATAGCATTGATAGCGAGGTAGCAGGTTCTGATCAGATCAATGGGCGTTGATTGAATAACACAGTACTAGCAGCTGGCTGCTGCGGATTTTAGAAAGATACTTTATAGCATCAATAGCAAGGTAGCAGGTTTGATCAGATCAATGGGCATTGATTGAATAACACAGTACTAGCAGCTGGCTGCTGCGGATGTTAGGATGATACTTTATAGCATCGATAGCGAGGTAGCAGGTTCTGATAAGATCAATGGGCATTGATTGAATAGCACAGTACTAGCAGCTGGCTGCGGATGTTAGGAAGATACTTTATAGCATCGATAGCGAGGTAGCAGGTTCTGATC